GATCTCCATCATCGGTATTGAACTCCATCGTTGGAGGAGGGTTTCATTCGGCCTCCATTTTCACTAGTATTGATCTCCATCATCAATGTTGAACTCTTGTCGGGTCGTGTCTCGTTGTTTCAGATTGTCGATGGAGGGTTTCATTCGGCCTCCATCTTCGCTAGTGTTGATTTTCATTGTCGGTATTGAACTCTCGTAGTCGTTTCAGATTGTCATTCTCACCCTTGATTCACATGTGTAGTCAACAACATAATTAATTTCAATATTACTACATTGGGTGGGCATAGAATTCTATAAAAAAAATTAGCCAAAAAAAAAAAAAAATTAGTCCTGTTCATGAAGAGTTGAACAAATTTAGGGGTTGTTTGGGATGTTCTAAATAAGTGTACTTTTTAACTTTTTATGAAATATTGGTTGGGTTTGAAGTGATGTGGTAGAAATGTGATGTGACTTATATAAGATGATGTGACTTAAATAGGATAGTGATTTTTTGACTTTTTTAGAACATCCCAAACTTAGCCTTAATGTGTTCAAAAAATTATATCTGAACGAAGAATAAAAATTTAATTTATTTTAACCGAATTAACTTAAAATGTTCAATTTTTAATGTATGAACATTTAATATTTGGTCAATCTTACTAAAAGTTCAACTCTGATTATTCGAATATATGATGAACAAACTCATCTTCCTAACAAATGAACGAGACACAAAAAAAAAAAAAAAAACCAAGTCATGAACTAACATTTCAATGTTCAAATCAACATTTTCAATGTTTATATCGGCACCAATCATCTTACTGTCATCCATGGTGTGCAAATTTTCAAAGGCAATAATATTTTGAATTAAAAAAAAAAAAGTATAATGGAGAAGAAAATTAAGTGAGCTAATTGAAAATAAATGATATCATGAGTGTAGTGTGTTAATGGTGAAGATTATAAATAAATGCAGTGTTTATATGTTTAAACGCTAAACCCTAAGGTGATGATGATGTGTGAAGAGTATTTTATATTTTTAAAGAAAAAATGCTTGGGAGCACTAGAAATGGAGCACTAGAATAAGCACTAATGATGTGGCAGTGGGCCCCGCTCACTTTCTATGCCTTGTTTCTTTTTTTTTTTACCATTCCCAATGCATTAGTGTTATTAGTGGTATATTTTTTAGTGGTCTAAATCATTGTTGATTTTTAAATTTGAAAATTTTGAATAAGTAGAATATACTCTCATATTGTTCTTAATGGTATTTTCATTTGAGAATATTATTAGAATATAAATTTAATCTGTTAATGATTTGTATTGAGAGGATTAAAGGTTATATTAGTGGAATATATACTCTCACTAGTTTACCGTTTTACACCCTCCATCTCAATACACCACCTAAAAAAATGTGATTCTCATTACACTCGTTATACTACCAAAACTAATCTTAAACTAAAAATTCTTCAAAACCCTTTCAGTTTTGTCTCTTTACACCTATAGCTTTTGGTAATATAATGCTAAAGAATTTGAATTATTCTAGTGCCATGTTACTAGACAAACTAATTTTTTCCAGTAATTTGTTATCGTCCAATTGGATGATTTTACTTTACTTTAACAAGAAATTAGTTGGAGCCCATTTGTCAAGTGTATGTTTGGTGAAACAAATTAGATTAATTCAACCGCCTATCACTTTACATGGGAGGTAGATTATCTTCATTGTCGTTGCATTAAGGCATCCCTTCATTTTAATGTAATCAATATCTCTTTTGGTCGTACCATACTCTTTGATATGTTAACTAATAAGGATGTTTTCTCCTTAGATAATCTACTAGCAAACGAGTCCCCTTTAAAATGTTTAGAAGTCGGATGATTGTAGTTGCATTGCTGCAATAAGGCCTTGTTTGGCATAAAATAGTTTTAGCTTAAAAATAAAAAATTACTAAAAAAACCAAAAAACCTAGAACCTATACCAAAAAATCAAAAATTTCATTTTCCCTCTACTTTTTACACATCTTTTCGTAAAAAATAAAAAAGTCATTCCAAACACATTATTTTTTTTTTACCTCATATTTTAGCAAAAAAGTTACTAAAATAGTTTATTCCCAAACGAGGCCTAAATAGAAGTATAATCCTTCAAATCAAAAAAATAAAATATATATAAAAAATAAATTTGAAAATGCACGGTAATGAGTAACCGAATAAAAAAAATATTCGGCATTGGAATACCGGAAATGTATCTTTTATTTGGCAGTGGGTTATTGGGCATATATTTTTTGTTCGGTAATGTGATTCCGAACTATTTTAGTTTGTTCGATTTTGACACACCGAACAAAAGTTGAAGAACTCTCTCAAAAAACGAAACGAAAGCCTACCAAACAAATAAAAAAACCCACAATTTCACTTTTTTTTTTTTTTTATAGTTCTTCACCACTGTTTTTTCATCCATTGTTTTTTCTACACTATGATTATCACTTTTTGAAAAATATATATGCATGAAGGGGTGAGAGATATAACAGAGGTGTCAGAGAATCAATTTGGGTTTATGCCCCGCAGGTCAACAATGGAAGCGATTTATCTTTTGAGAAGAGTAATAGAAAAGTATAGAGAAAATAAAAGAGACATTCATATGGTGTTTATCAACCTTGAGAAAGCATATGATAGAGTGTCCCCAGATATAATATGGTGGGTGTTAGAGAATAAATGGGTGACAAAAGGTTACTTTGATGTGATTTGGGACATGTATGAAGGGGTGGTGACCATTATTAGATAGCCTATTGGAGAGACAAATGAATTTCCTATCATTGGTGGGTTATACCAATGATCTACCTTACGCCCTTATCTTTTTGCTTTAGCTATGGATGAGTTGACGATAAATATTCAGGATGACGTGCCATGGTGTATGCTTTTTGCAGATGATATTGTGCTAGTGGATGAGATTAAAGAAGGAGTTAATACAAAGTTGGAGATTAGGAAAAAAGCTCTTGAATCTAAAGATTTCCGGATAAGTAGAAATAAGACAGAGTACATAAAGTGTAAATTTCATAACAGTAACAATAAAAGTAGAGGAGAAGTAAAGATTGAGAACCAAGAATTGCCTAAGAGTGAACATTTTCGTTATTTAGGGTCGATTATCACAACACGGGGGAGATTGAAGCGGATGTGGCCCATAGGATTAAGGCGGGATGGTGTAAATGAAGAAGTGCGTCTGGAGTACTATGCGATAAACGAATACCCACTATACTAAAATGTAAGTTCTATAGAATGGCTATTAAACAAGCGATGTTGTACGTGACGGAGTGTTAAGCAACCAAAAAACAACATGTAGATAAGATGAGTGTAACTGAGATGAGGATGCTAAGGTGAACACGTGGCAATGCTAGACAAGACAGAATTAGGAATTAGTGTATTTAGGAATGGGTAGGAGTAGCACCGATAGAAGATAAGTTGAGAGAAAATCGATTAAGATGGTTTGGTCACATTCAACGGAGACCAACAGAGGCAGTAGTGATGAGATGCGATGCTGTAATGGTAGAGGAGAGTGTTAGGGGACGGGATAGGCCTAGATTAACATTGGCTAACGTTGTAAATAGAGATATGGATCTACTTAATTTGACTAATGAAATGGCCTTTGATAGGACCGCGTGGAGCAGAAGGATTCATGTAGCCGACTCCATTTGATGAGACTTAAGGCTTGGTTTGGTTTGGTTTGGTTTAGCAGAGAAGAAAAACTGAGAAGGAAATAAAAGCAGTAAGAATTGAAGAGTAATGAGTGTAAGAAGATAATAAAATATATTTAAATTTAGTACACATGAGTAAAATTGAAAAAAAAAAAAAATTCATATGAAGAGTATAAAGAAGTGAACTAGTAGTATAAGTAGAATCACTTATAAATAAAATCTCTCTTTGTAAATTTTTTTTTTTTTGAAAAAAAGGGCTGGCTTCCCCTTAATGTGTGATCGAACTGGAGAGTACTGTTAAGTCCGTAGAGGCCCACCACGGGTCCCGTTTCGATAATCCGAAGCGTTGAATATGTAGAACTCGTCGATTACTATATAATTACCAAAAATTATATTGATCAAATATCGATAACTATGTGATCAAATCAGTTTTATATAAAAAAATGAATGGTGAAAAAATAAACAATTGACAAAAATCTGATCTGATGAGATATCTATTGATATCCGATCAATATAAATTTTTATAAACATATAATATTAAACCAGTTTTACACATTAAATAATTTAAATTTATCAAAACAAAATCTATATTCCCTTCCCATCCGATCACCGAGGGCAGCCAGCCCCCAAAAAACGGGTGACTCTATTTACACACCACATTTGGTCTTAAGGCACACCACTACTCAATTCATACCTTTAATAATTTGAAAAAACATACAACTTGTTTGGTTTTGATTTTTAGAAAACAGGTTTTCAGAAATTTTTTTTTTTTTATTTTTCGTATTTTAATGTTTTCAATGAATATTTTTAATGTTTTAAACAATTTTTTTTTTAATTTTTAGACACACCTAACATAAATACACTTAAAAAGTATATTATTTATGAAAAAAATCTTTAAAAAATACACTAAATACCAAAAAATACAAAAAAAAAATAAAAATAAAAATTCAGTACAATTTTCGTATTTTTGTGTATTTTTAATTTTTAAAAATATCTTTCACAAATATTATACTTTTTGAGTGTATTTATGTTAGGTGTGTCTAAAAATTAAAAAAAAAATTGCTAAAAAATTAAAAAAATTCATTGAAAATATTAAAATACGAAAAATAAAAAAGTAGAATTTTCTAAAAACCAGAACCAAACAAGCTGTTAATTAATACGTATGTAAATAATTTAATACGTATTTTCACATTTACATTTACAGTAAATTCATCTTCACATTTACATACGTATGGTTTAAGGGTAAAATTTTTGATAAATGACAAATCACCAAAATAATCCAATTCCTAAAACAACCCTAATAATCCAATTCCGAAAACAACCCTAATGAAAAGAAAAGAAAAGAAAAGAAACGAAACGAAGAAAACAGATGATACTCGGATGTTATTGCATGTTGGGTGGTTCACCGTGACTGAAAGAAAAGGAGACATACAAGCCATGGCCATGGCCTGTTCATCATCATCGTCTACTTGTTCAATTTTCAGTCCAGATATGCGAATTCTTAATGTGCCATTATTATCAAAACCTACAAAAAAATTCAATCACATTCATCATCATCATCATCATCATCATCACGATGAGCGTACAGTGGGCGGTGTTGGACGCCCATTGCTTCTGTATCGGCGCTTCCAAAAGAATCCATCATCATCATCATCACCAACTTCCTTGTCAGTAAAATGCTTCTCACATCGTCAATCTACCCAACAAGAAGAAAAAGATGAAGAATTCCAATTAGAAAGGCTCTTCTCTAACCTCAATCAAGCCACTCTCAAGAGGGAGCCTGGTAACTACTATTCCCCTCTCTCTCTCAACAAGTAAAGTAAATTAATGATCGCTTGAAATTGAAATGTTAATTAATTGCTTCCATTTATGATTTTATTTTATTTTTTTACTTTTGTTTCCAGGAAGCCTTTCCAGTGCAATTCTTCTCGTCTCTGGCACCACTGTAAGTATGCTCTCTCTCTCTCTCTCTGTGGCATTATATATATAGGAAAATGATATACAAACACACTTTCTAAACCCATTTCTAGAGTCAATGATGTGTAAGTGACATGACTGGTTGATTGGTTGATGATTATAGAAGATATGAGAGAGTGTTATCTATAATATCGTAATTGATTGTCATGTCATTGGGTGAAAAATTGGGTCTAATTTTTGGTTTTGAATAGCAATGCCCTATATATATATATATATATATATTGTCTTTACATGGTTTACTCATTCACATTAGAAACCCCCAAAACAAGGTGGATTTCTGGTTGCAATAAAAAAAGAAAAAAAAAAAAGTGAGTTAGTGCGTGAGGCTCTCACTAAAATATAGAATAAATTGAAATGTTTAAGAGTTGGCCTCTTGCCAAGAATTTGGTGCCAAGAGGGAAAAACTAGGAAATATTTAAGAGGAATTAGTTAGTTTCTGCTAATCATTTGAAATTTTTTGGTGGCCCATGTTTGACAATATTGTATGATATAAATGAAAAGCTCCTCATTTATAATTTTAGCTAAACCCTTGTTCTTATTCTATGAGTGAGCGTCACATGCACGCACTAACATTGCAATCGAATTTTATAAACAGGTTGGTGCAGGGATCCTTGCAATTCCTGCAGTGACACAAGAATCTGGATTTCTAGCCTCTGCGGTCACCTGCATTGTTTGTTGGGTATTTATGGTAATAACCTCAGTGTTCACCACAACATTCTATTTCATGCAAATTATTTTTCATTTCTTCTTCTTTTTCTCCTCCTCCCTCCCTCCCTCTCTCACAACAACAGATATCTATTCTGTATGCGTGATCAGTAGGTGGGCAATAAGCTATAGATCACAAACACTTCTAAGAAGGTGTAGTGTCTGTGTCAAACACGTGTTAGACACCAACACTCTCCTAGACTCCTCCAAGTGTGTCCTAGTTTTTTGTTAATTCTTCTAGTATAGAACATGCTTTGGACATTGGGATGATGCACAAGTCCATCTCCTAGGCATGTGTAACACACAACGTAAGTTTAAAGAAAATTACTTGGGAACCAATGATTAAAATCCAAACAATGTGAATTTTTTCATACTAATTCCTCTTGTTTTTATCTTTTTTCATTTTAAGACTTTTATGCCCTAAAATTTCCATTTATTTATGAATAGAGTTGTTCTTTTTCAATATGTAAAATGTGAAAATGAATGATTTATTACTATTATAATGGAATAAAATATATATGTATGTTGTAACATAACAAATGAAATAATTTTTTTTCATGTATGTGTAAAAGCATATACTTATTTGTTGCCATGCCCCGTCGTCCTGATTTTTAAAAGAACTTTCTTGGTGACGTGACTATATAATGTTGTATCTGTGTTTCATGCTTGTATTGTATCTATGCTTCTTATGCATAAGTCATGTCCTTGGAATTCACAATGCACGGGACATATTACGATGTCATGATGATGCACCCATTCCAATGGCCATTCCTTTACTCTTGGGATATTTTTTTAATTTTTTTATTAACACGAGATCTATTATTGGCTCTAGATCAATTGGTGCTATATTAAGGCCCAACATTATAATCTTGAAATCATCATTTTATTCCAATTTCATAAGAATAGGTTCCCCTTAGTCATTTTTGTGTAGCCAATTTCGCTCCAGTATTAGAGGCTGTAATCTTTACTTTTTATCTTAGTTTGAGTCCTCGAGCAGTTCTAGTTCGATTCTCATGGAGACTCAATTGAAGCTTGGCACATACTCGTCATACTCTAACGGATGGTTCAAAGATTTCATGAAACTCAGGGCTATCCATGTGTAAAATACATTCATGCATGTGCATGCAATACACACTTGCAACGAGTATTATTTCTGTAATTTTTGTTTGGTTGTCTTTTGACCATAATTGATTTAGTTTTGCAATAGTCTAAATTAATTAATAGTATGTGACCGTAGGACCCTTTGGGTTGGTTTTCACTTAGCTTTTTTGAGCTTAGTTTTCATGCATAAATAGTAGCATTTCCATTTGAATACATTGGCTGTCGTTTGAGCATGAACGAGGTCCAAAGACATCATTTGTTTGAACACTCTCTTCTGTTTGAATGCATGTTGATTTTTAAGAAAATATGACCTAGTTCACTGAGTGTTTCATCCTTAGTGGTTTAGGTTTTCTTGAGGGCTATATATAGTTGTCCTTTAACCATATGTATGGGTGATTGATAGAGAGAAAACACCTTTGAGATTTCCAAAGTCTCTAAAGTATTTTGACTATGAGGTAAGGACCTTGGAGAGCATTGCACAATCATACTAGATCACACACAATCATTGCTAGGGTTAACAGCATTTGTGGGTCTAGAAGGCTGCCGACTTGATCGTGATTGTGGTTGGCATGTATGGGCTTGGAAGATCATGTTCACGTGGTTGACGTGACTAGTGAAGATCTAAGGTACAAGTGAGTCTTGGAGATTGGCTAACGTGGATAGTAGATTGCTATAGGAACTGCCCTAGGTGTTGAGTATGTAGGATCTATGCGTCTGGATTTTGGTAAGCGTCATACTTCATTTTTATTAGTGGAAACGTCAATGGGTTTTTACGTTCGAGTTTGAAGCATTTTCCCACTATAAATCACATGTCTTCTTTGTATGTTTTTTATTGGATAATGTTGGAGATAAGATTATACTGTCAAAGATATTAGAAGATATGGAAGATATCAGAATATTTAGAGATCCCATGATTTGTGTTTTTCATGATGTTTTGTATCTTTGATTTATTTCAATTCCTTAACTGAAGGGATTTCATTGTATCCCCCACTCTATATATATGGTGTATTATGTAAATAAGAGTATCAAGTTGAGTGAATGAAAGATGTAAGCCTATATAGGGCTTTGTGTGTGTGGACGTAGGCCAAGATTGAATGAACCACGTTAAACCTTTGTTTTCTTTCTTTTCTCTTTTCTGTCTTTATTATCTCTCCATATTCAATCTTATTGTCTTATTACAAAATTCAACTGATATCTCTATCATTGAATTCATAAAATTAATTTTGAAACGATTTTCTTCAACCATCAAGTGGTATGATAAACGGTCCTTGAAATAAACAATTTTTATTTCTAAAAATTCTTCTCACATTCATGTGTCTCTCTTCCTCTCTTGGTTTTTGTACATGTTAGTGAATTTGCCACAAATGGTAAAATGATGCAGGTTGTTACAGGGCTGCTTATTGCTGAAGTAAATGTGAAGACAATGTGTGAACTGGGTTCTGGTGGTGTGTCATTGGTAATTTCATTGTTGTTTCCTATCCTGAGCTTACAATTTACACTGCAATACATGTTCAAGATCTTCAAGGGGTAAAAGATTGGTAATTTCATTGTTGTTTCCTATCCTGAGCTTACAATTTACACTGCAATACATGTTCAAGATCTTCAAGGGATAAAAGATATTAACATTTCATAGGTAAAGTTTATAACTTGAATAATTCGTGCAGCCTTTTTTCCTTTCAAAGAGTGATGGACTCATAGTGGAGGATCTTGATATAATTATGGCATGGATGTTCTTCTAGAATAAATGCTTGAATTCGGTTAATTTCAATTGTCATAAAATAAGTTGAGAATTTAAATGATTTTCTGTTCTCCTTGAATTTACAACACTTTGTTCTGCGGAAGATTAGTCTTCATATCTATGGAGATAGAAATGAACTCTGTTGGCGTACACAATTTCCTGGAACTCGCTGTGCATATCCCAAGTGTTGGTGTGATTGCAATTCCGAAACCTTTAAATATAACATATTCTGCCTTTGCAGTTAAGCAAATTTAATATGTTCAATCTTGATTTAAAGGAATCGTACCAAAAGCAAATTACTAAATGCACATTTCTTGTCTTAATTACCTGTGACTTATTTCAGGTATCAATGGCCATGAGAACTCTTGGGACAGCCGGAGTTCAAATTGCATGGTAGGCAGATTTATTTCAGGTATCAATGGCCATTAAAAGTGTCCGATGAAAGTATTGGACCATAGTTGTCAAATCGGAATTCGTATCGTGAATCGAAATGGTCTTGTACCAAATCGCGAAGCGAATCGAATTGTGAATCGTAAAGATTCGGTCACTTTTTCTAAATTACTTAAAAACATATATCTACACATTTAGATGTTAAATATATCTTATGAATATAAAATATTTAGACTTAAATCAATGAAAATATTATTTTGAATAATAATCATGTAGTTTAATAGGTAAGAAGTTAACAAAGGTTCCTATGTAAGATCACCATCTTATCTTTTTTCTTTTTTAGATATTTCTTATTAACAATTCTTAATAAAGATAATAACCAAATAGACAAACTAGCAATTTCCAAAGTAACAATAATTAACAACAATATTGATATTTGGACAATAAGCATACATACTTTTCTAAATAACAGTGAGCAAATAATAAGAAAGAATTATTCAGAATATTTTATTTTAAAGCCTAAAACATTTTAAAAGGCATAACTGACCTCATATATGTAATATTCAATTTAATAAAATAACAATAGATAATTCATAGTGTAACTTTAATCTTAAATTTCTTTAGAAGGTATATTATGATTTTTTACAAGGAGAAAAAAAAATGTTAAAATTGATATATTATTGATTGATTTAATGTTATATTTATTACAATGATTCATGATTCCTATATATAGAAGAGGGTGAGTGTGTAGTAGGTAAGGAGTAGGTGAAGTGGAGGTGGTAGTGGTGTAGTGGGTTAGGTTTAGTGGAATAGGTTTAAGTGGGTGAAGTAGGTGATAGGTTTAGTGGAGTAGGTGAGGTGGTAGTGGTGTAGTGGATTAGGTTTAGTGGAGTAGGTGAGGTGGTAGTGGTGTAGTGGATTAGGTTTAGTGGAGTAGGTGAGGTGGTAGTGGTGTAGTGGATTAGGTTTAGTGGAGTAGGTGAGGTGGTAGTGGTGTAGTGGATTAGGTTTAGTGGAGTAGGTGAGGTGATAGTGGTGTAGTGGGTTAGGTTTAGTGGAGTAGGTTTAAGTGGGTGAAGTAGGTGGAAGTCGCGCCCTCAAAAGGCGCGCCCACTTCATCAAAAGGCGTGCCTGACAGAAAGCGTCGAGCCATCAAAAGGGGCGCCTGACACGCGGCGATGCACGTGACCGACAGAACGCGGTACCGAATCGCGAATCGAATCGAATCGTGAATCGTAAAGATTCGGTCACTTTTTCTAAATTACTTAAAAACATATATCTACACATTTAGATGTTAAATATATCTTATGAATATAAAATATTTAGACTTAAATCAATGAAAATATTATTTTGAATAATAATCATGTAGTTTAATAGGTAAGAAGTTAACAAAGGTTCCTATGTAAGATCACCATCTTATCTTTTTTCTTTTTTAGATATTTCTTATTAACAATTCTTAATAAAGATAATAACCAAATAGACAAACTAGCAATTTCCAAAGTAACAATAATTAACAACAATATTGATATTTGGACAATAAGCATACATACTTTTCTAAATAACAGTGAGCAAATAATAAGAAAGAATTATTCAGAATATTTTATTTTAAAGCCTAAAACATTTTAAAAGGCATAACTGACCTCATATATGTAATATTCAATTTAATAAAATAACAATAGATAATTCATAGTGTAACTTTAATCTTAAATTTCTTTAGAAGGTATATTATGATTTTTTAAAAGGAGAAAAAAAAAAGAAGAGAAGAAAGGTTAAAAATATGTTGGGTCTGACTGAATTTGATTGGATCCTATTAAAAACTCCATGATCACTCTAAAATAACAGCAAATTATGTATATATGTTGGTTATTTTATTTTGGTATTAAACGCTATTAGAAATTGTATTCTGTCATTTTCACTAAAAAGATGGAGAGAAAAAGAGTCGAAAATATGTTGGACACAATAATTTTAAAAATTACATGAATCATAAAAGGTGAATCAAATCGTGAATTGATTGTAAATCATGCGATTCATTAGAGATTCACTTCCAAAATAGATTCGCCCATAGATTCATATTGATTTTGCAAAAATTACAAATCAAATCATGAATCGAATCGTGAATGGCAAGTTTCTGATAACAGAGTATTGGATGCATATCTCACACATGAAAAGTATAGGACAATGCTTATATACTGTATTTAACAATATCATTATATGTATATATTATTGTATTATTGGTATAAAATAAGTAAAATGCCATTTTGACATTATATGTTACATATAAAACTATTTATCTCACATAATAGATTAAAAAATTGTAAATTTGAACCCTTTTTTATCAAGTTTGTGTGCCCTTAAATTTGAGATTTGTTGGGTCTAACCTCTAGATATGCACCCGCACCAGACGCCCGTTCCTGAGTCCATGTAACATAGATGAGTATGTATTAGTTGAATACGGACTTATCGTCTGACAAAAGTTCAGTTCCTTTGTTGCAGCTGGTCGTATATCTTCATACATTACGCCCTTCTTGTTGCTTATGTGGATCGTTCCTCAGATATTTTGACAAATTTCCTTGGCATTCCGCTGTATGAATTACAATCTTAACTTCTGATTACAACTCTGTGACATAATCTATGCTTGTTGATGCTTTCACCATATATTGTTCTGGAAACTAGTCTTGCCATATATTCTATACAGTCGTCATTTTTTTGATTGCACAATCTGTTTTTAAGATGATAAATCCTGTAAAGGAATGAAAGGTCACATTTTAATGAACTGACAATTTTCATTCAGTTGAAAATGAATTTCCAATACAATGTCATTATTATGCTTTGGTGTCATTTCTCTTTGTTGCCAACATCATGGTGATTTTCTTGTCATCAAATGATACGCAACACTTGCAGCTGTCCTTGCAACATATGAGATCAGTTGTGTTATTAGATTTCATTATTATCTAAATTCATAATTATTATTTCATTTACATGTATATCACTAAAATGCGATAAGTTAAGGGAGAACTACAAAAAACCCATGTTTCAGAATTTTATTTCATATGCATGGTTTTGAGCCCAGTATTCCAACATCCAGATCATGCATCTATAGTTTTCTGCAAATGTATTTTACTTCTGAATCGATAAAATCAATTTTTATTGAGGAACTTGGATTTGTACCTGGACTTAATGTTCTGGTTCCAGCTGTCTAGTTCCCATTATCTCGATCAGATTAAACTCATATTTTAGAATAATAAAAAATATACTCCCTCCGTCCTAAAATATTAGTCTCTTATTCCATGTTTCATTTTCCCAAAATATTAGCCCATTTTCAAATATCAAGTACAAAAATAATATAAATTTCTTATTTTGCCCTTCTTTTAAATTCATTAACAACAAAAAAGTACAATTATGACATTGATATTCCCTAAAAAATGTACTATCAAAGGGTAATTTTGGAAAATTAATTTTTTAAAGTGTAATAATTGTACTACCAAAAAAAGTTAGATTCCCCAAAAGAGACCATTATTTGGGACAGAGGGAGTAATTTGCAATTTGAACCTCAGTCTGGCTTCACCACAATGACAATCATAATTCGTTTTCAACGTTTGGTGAAGAATCTGCTTTTCATAATGTCATTCCTCTTATGGAATTGCTGTTTCAGACATATATTGATGTGGACCAATCTTGGTGTTAATGCTCTATATAGGAAATCTTATCTTCTGCTTGGTTTTAGTTTCTAGAAACTTTCTTTTAAACTAGGATAGAATAATATTCTCAATTGCATGCCCATGGGCTCCTGAATGTAAAGCAACAAGGCACAAACAGTATATTTTCCTGCGAAAGTGAAGAAAGGTTTAAATTTTGATAGGTTGACCACATTGTTGATAGTTCTTATGTAACTATAAGCGAACTTTTAATTGCTGATTTTAAACAATCTAGATAGACACAATTGGAGAATGATATCTTCCATGACAGAGTACTTGTATATAGTTAAAGGTGTTGACTGGAAGCATTATTATTACAGATGGGAAAGTGCGACATTGTTTTCATTGCTTTTTGGAGGCATTTGCTTCTTCGGAAGGTTGGTATTTCTTCTTCTTTGTTTTTGTTTTTGATTTTGTTTTTGTTTTTGTTCTTTTCTTTTCTTTCTTTTTGGTGGTGGCGGCGGTGGTTTATTCCTTGCTCTACTATGAGACTGCATGTATGTCTCTTCGTCAAGGTTGCTACACCAAACAAGTATAATTTGACTTGTTATATCAACAAGATGGACTTTTGTTGCTACTTTGGGAATAAATCATAGAATAATTGCCTCATAACTGGAGTTGTCCTCAGCAGCATGAAGATTAAGCCATTTGTTGGATTTTGTTGTGTATGGGCAAGATGATTACCGTATTGAATGGATTTTCATTCATGTTCTTGTTTGAGCTTGGTTGCATCTGTGTGCACTTCATGCGTGGATGTTTTGTCTCATTTGATTATTCTCCATAGCATTTAACGGACCGATAATATTCCCAGTTATCACTTTCTAATTTTACTATAGTGCAAATGTGTTATTTTCATATTAGGAGTTCTATAGGCTTTGGAGCAGAGATTTGGTAATGCACTGAAGAAAATAATAAGATAGAGAGAGATGGGCTCTTATGTCCTAAATGAAAATAGAGATGGACTAACCTAAAAAAGATAAAAGGACAATAGGAGATTTAGTAGTTCCTTTTTGCTTTTTCTTCTTTCATTACTTATTTTGATTACCTTTATAAATAGATGCCTTTTATATCTTTGGAAAGAAATTTTCAGTGATTCCAAATTTATACTTTATGCAGCCAGCGGTTTATTGGAGCAATAAATGGTGTTCTCGTATTTGGAATCATCACTTCTTTCACAGCTCTAGTGGTAATTCTCCTTCTCGAACTATATAGCTATTAATATTGTGTTCCTAGCATAAAACTGCAAAATACTTTTACTTATTATGACGAGAGTTTCATTTGTATGGAAACAGAAGTTATTAATTCCTTAAATGTGAAGGACAAAAATCCATACAATGTGACTCTCTCTCTCTCTCTCTCTCTCTCTCATGAGATGTCAATATTTAAGAGGTTTCCATGTAGGAGCACATAATAGTGACATTATGTGGCCTGGATGCAAAAATTTACAAAAATTTAAAGCTTTGTATAATTGAAATCTATGACATAACTTTTGACAATAATGGAAAAATAGAATATTTGTTCTGACCTATGGGTGGGATGCTCCAAAGTTGAAGGTTATGTTTGACAGAAAGTGGGCCCAAAAATAGAGAGTAGGGAATACAAAAAATAATGAAGAGAGAGATTCTCAGTAATGCTTTTATTCAGATGGTGATTCTGTTGTAGTTTACTTACTGAATACTGTCTCAGTTAAACTTATCCTTGTTACTTTGTATGGACACAATTCAGATAAACAAATGTGAAACAAAGGGAAAACCATCATTCTTAATGCATTGTTACCCTTGTATTAATTCCATAAGTACTTATCTGAATTTCTTGTAAAATTTATTTACTAATGAGATTATTCAAAATTTATTTGTCCTGGTGGCTCCTTTATGTTTTTTGTCCGTATATATATATATATATTACGTTATGCGGATTTATTTATTTCCTACTAGGTAGTTGCAAGTAGTGACTTGCATTGGGATGCTCTTCTGAAAGCCAACTTTGGAGCTGTTCCTGCGAGTATACCCATAATAGCACTTTCTTTTGTTTATCAAGTAATAGCTGCATCCAAATCCTTCAGTAATTCAACATTTTAAGCCATTTCAGCATTTTTGAACTGTTGGTTTATCCAATAATTTCAAACCTGATTTGTTTCAGAACGTAGTGCCTGTCATTTGTACGAATCTTGAAGGAAATCTGTCAAAAGTGAGGTGAAATTTTTTGTCATTCATGCTTCTGCTTGAAACTAAAGTGAACATGTTGTACATATAGAGGTGCTGATTTCTGATAATTTAGTTTAATCATAATTCAATGTTTGAAATGAATGGCCATTCTCATCATGCTCAAGTTATATGTGAATGACAAAAAATTAGTTCAAAAAATAGAAAGAAGTTACTTGTACTACTTGATTTAAATCTTTGAGGAATGGATGTGTTGCTATATAAAAAGAACCACAAGTGTTGATTGCTCTCTAGACATAGGCAGTATAATAATAATGCATTAAAAATGTATTCTCAATGGGGTCATTATATGTTGTAATCCAAGCATTAGCCAAATTTGTTATGGCAATGTGACTCATCTCATCTTACCAATATTCCATTGGTGGAATTTGAGCCAGTATCTCTCTTTAGCTCTTGACATGCAGAACTTTTCAGTTGACTAGAAAAATTGAACAGGCAATTATGCTATGAAGCTAATCAAGAGAAGCTAAAAGATTAGAAGAGATCTCTTTCCAACTATACATTAAATAATTTAGCATGATAACAGATGCCTAATGATTGAGCTAGGACTGGAGCATGTCTAAAATAGAATGGATTAAACCAGAAAAGTAAGGGGAGAGCTTGAAGTCGATCCTTTCTTGATATGTCCACATGAGTACTTTGCTCATCTTGCAACATTGTGTTAAAGAAAAGATGGGAGGTGGAGTGGAGGATGCTTCACATAGATATTGAATTATAAATTTTAGATGATATCTGCAAGTAGATTTAGTTTTCTGGGTTATGTTACCAAACACATTGTTCTTTAATGTTTCATAGACTTAAGCGCATCACTCTGTTACCATCATTTTGCGACTGATACTGCTGTCCTCTATTTTCTGTGTGTGTCCACTTCTGTTTTCTCGTGGAAGGTAACTCTGGCTGTGTCTTGAATTTCATTCCTTTCATGTAGCTGGTGTTTTAGTTATGTTTTTGTCTACTTCCCTCTCCACCTGCCAGATGGGAACACGCGAGGGAGGGTGTTAGCTTATTTACATTGTTGGACTCATTCTGAATAGTTTAAGATTTTTGGACAATTGGTTATCTAGCAAAATGTAACCAATCCATAGTCCATTGGTAAAGTTTGTAGCATCTTGCAGACAGGTGTCAAAGACTAAACTGTTCAGTGCAAGCCACAATTAAAGCCTGAATTGACACATTTACATATTATCATTAAAAAATGGTACAAATATCTCTTAACACCATGAGTTTTACATTTGGTTTTTGAGAATTAAATCCATAGGAGGCTGTTCTGATTTATGAAATTTTACTTTCCCTCTGTTGTTTGCCAAAACCAATTTGCTGTTTGTGCTCATGGCGCTAGGTACAATGTTTTGTTATAACTAAAATTTGTCAAATGCTTGTTTGGAATTTGATGGTGGACATCATCAATATGTCAATCCGCAGGACTGCAATTGTCCTAGGCACTGCTATCCCCCTTGCTCTGTTTGTTGTCTGGAATGCTGTTATTCTCGGATCAATCACAAGTTTTGAAATAGGCTCTGATAAGATTATTGACCCCTTACAACAATTGCAATCTGCCAACCGAGTTGTTGGGGTAAGTAATTCCATGTACAAGAATCGGAATTTTGGGTGGACAAGTTGACCGATGGTAAATGGAACATTCATCTGAATATTATATCACTTATTTGTGATAATTATGATGTTCTGCAGCCAATAGTTGATGTGTTCTCACTTCTTGCAATTGCGACTTCCTATATTGGGTTTGTTTTGGGCCTTGCCGACTTCCTTGCTGACTGTGAGTGTGTTTCTCTCTTGATTTTCAAAACAGATGGTTTCTTGTCCATTTTATTATTATGACTGTTGTTGCTGTTGTTATTTTGATATGGAAAATGCTAAAATACAGAATTTTCATACAAAAAAAACATACAGAATTGTATGGGGGAGAAATATTCATTGTCTTCCGTATGCCTTACTACCAAGCTCGCCTTGCTCTGAATGGACTCCGATTCATTGCGAATAGAACAGAGGTGAGCTACCTAGCGGGTGGTTTGCCGAAAAACCCCCTGCGACGGTCAAGTTAGTTTCGTTGAGGAAGAGTATAGAGCGCTAGAGAGAGAGAATTGTTAAAGTTTGTTTACCCTTCTTTGGTAGTTGATGTGCGCTTTATCTATGCTGGCCATGCAACCCCAGATTGTGCGTGCACTACTTCTGTCGTCCTTCTTTGGACGGGTGACTATACTGCCTTCTCTTTTCCTTATACGTGTACTCGCTAATATCGCCAAACAACATTAGCCAAACTGTCAAACGGTATTGACATGTCCCTGGAGTGGATTTCCCTCCTTTCTCCATTGGACCATGTGGAACGCCACAACCGAGCAATCACTTGTGTCATACTCAGAGCGCTAGCTTAGGCCAGCCCTGTGTCGAGCTGAATTAGGCCGATTTTCTAGCTGACTTTTGGCTTGGTCAGCCTCGCAAGGGCATTTTGTTTCTTGGGCGGTCAACCAACTTCGCCGCTCTTCGGTCATCAGCTCAGCTACAGATCGCGGCCTAAACCCCGCCCAGCTTGGCCCACCGTAAGAACGCATGTCCAGCCCTAGTTCGATTCCACATCGGCTTGGCCTATGCCTGCGGCCCAAGCCCAAACTAGTTCGGCACGACGTCGAGGCCCATGGGCTTAGCTCGGCCCAACATCTTGGCCTGTGTTGATTTAGCTCGGCTCAACATCTTGGTCTCTGTCGATTTAGCTCAGCCCAACATCATGGCCCGCGTTAGTTTAGCTCGGCCTAGTTGTTCAGTACAAATCCCCCTCTAAATTGCCCCTTAATTCCGTTTGCTTCGGCATGCCTGGGATTACTCTACAAACCGAGCTAAACCCCTAGGCTGGTTCTCGGAACTTGCACCTACCGCCTGGCTAATCCATTAGTCTATCGTAGTGACGACTCGTCACATCCATGCCACGTGGGGCCTCCTCAGTGGTTCTGTGCAGCTCTCCAGCCGTCAGCATAATCTTCGAAAATTCAAAAAGTTGGTGCCTCTTTGTCTTTGTCTATATATAGATGATACATGTGTCTTAGCCCCTTCACTGTTCATCTTCTTCAGAGTGAAACCCTAGCAAATAAAGCCCAAACCGTCACTACAACGACTATCCGACGAGGATCTCAACTATTTCTTCACATCGGCCGTCTCATCAGCTAGTGCAAGAGCAGCCTCATTGATCGGATTTCAATCTAACGCCATAATTCGTGAGTTTTCCGAATCTCTCTACTTTTTCTCTTTGATGTTCTTCGTGTTCTTCGTATTCCCCATATGCTGCATTGTTAATTGCCTCTTTATATGCTGCCACGACATTAATCTATACTGAAATTCGCGTAAATGGGGCTTGGGCCCGAGTTAAGCTTCAAAACGACCCCAAATCCGTCATCACTTAACACGTTGCTTGACTCTTTGAGATGAACACCCAAAAACCTAGGCTAAACCAGGTGAAAACCTAGGCTAAACCAGGTGAAAACCCAAGTAATTGATCCAAAATCAAAACCAAACCGAGCAAACTTCCTGTTTGTAGTCTTTCTGAGAAAGTGAATCGGGCTAAGGCCCAACCACTTCCTAACTGATCTACGGCTGGGGAACCGAGATGAAATCCAAGCTTACTACGCGGACCGAACCAAAACCGAGCTTAATTTCGTGGTTGTGCTAAGGTTGTGGTCTCAGTGATCACTCTAAGACCAAGCTAAGGTTGAGGTCCAGCCCAAAAACTAAGGCAACATCTTTGCTCCTTGTTCTAAGACTGAACTGAAACCTAAACGACAACCTAAGCTCAATAATCGAGCTAGAATTAGGACCTAGGCCACACAACCGGGCTACCATCGAGCCTTAAGCTCTACAACCAAGCGAGAAACAGGCTTCAATTCGATGGCCAAGATGAGTTTCACACTACTGTCGTGCCCCTTGTTACCATGCTAGAACTTAATGCACTTCATTTTTCATAATGTAGACTGAGCTAGGACCGACCAGGCACACCTTAACCGCTAGCTGGTGATGCTCAAAGACCGAGCAGTCACCTTCAATTCGTGTCTTACGTAATAGCCGAGCAATAATTTCTCCAATAAGGTAGCAACTAAAATAAACCATGCTACATGGGGAATTGTTGCTTTGTGGTCAGCTTGCCAGGAGCTATTGTTGAATTCCGCAAAGAGTTTGGTATCCCAAATGATGTGCAATTCAAACTAGCCAAGGAGGGAGAGACGCCTTGGGGTGATCTTGACTTTTGCCCCTTTACCTTAGTATCAATAGTAGAAGGTAAGGGTGTGCGCGGTGTGGTTCGGGCGGTTTGAGAGTAAAATTATAAACCGAATGGTGGATTAGCGGATTGGCAAATTGCGGTTTGAGCGGTTTTGGACGGATTGGTAGATTGAAGAATATTCTAACCAATTATCAAGCCTTTGCATAATATATAACACTAATTTGCATAATATTTTTTTATATATATAACATAAACAAATTTTACATAATATTTTTCATATATATAATGTACGGGAAGCAAATATTTCAGCAAGCCCGTACTCCTTTCTTCCAAGCTCCGTTTATGTCCGATCACCTTAGGGAGAGCAGATAGAGAGTTTGTGTAGGAGTTCCTTACAAAAGTGTTCGTCCCCCTATATGGGGGGCGCAGACATGCTTATATACCCTTCTGCGTCCCAAACCTGCTCCCAATGGTCCCTCGACACGTGGCTCTGCTATCCCATCTGTCAGCACAAATCCTGCTGAGCGTCACCTAATCTCAACTGCCCGCTCACTCTGCTGGGAGCTCGGCAGCCGAGCTGCACCATCTTGTCCGCCAACGGTCGTGCTGTGCTTCATATCCAAGCACTCCATTAGCTAAGCTTAATAAGGACCGGGCTAGGCAACACCTCGACAAAGCCGAGCAAACAGGTACCTCGGCTGACCACGCCTTTCCGGGCGCCGGTCACTTAACTTGACTTGACTGGCTTCGCCTCCGTCAAACATGTAGCTCGGTCCAACCAAGCGTTGCCTTAACCGAGCAACTTCTTATTTTGCTGAGCCACACATCCTCGGCCCAACACTCTGTCCGGCCCAAATCTGTCCGGCACAACTCTGGCCGGCCCAAATCTGTTCGGCCTAACTCTGTATCATTAACCTCCCTCTCAATTGCCCCTTAATTCCGTCCGCAAAAGCGTGACTGGGATTACTCACTTTGACCGGGATAACATTTCTTCGGTCTTCAGAATGCTAAATGGCGACCGGGCTAGGTAGCATTACTGTCTGCAAACTTGCCCGGTTATACTCCTCGGCTGACGTCCTCTTTTTTGAAAGTAGCCCGGTTGGCTCCTTAAATCTTCAACCTGTCTCTTCAGTTCTGTCGACGCCATAAATGGGGTCACGTGGTGGGCTGCCATTGGTTCTCGAGTAGTCAACCCGCCGTTTTGCCAGAATTTGAATTTGGGCGGTTTCTTACCCTTTATATACATGCCCCTGCCCTCTTCCTTCCGTTCTTACTGCCTCTCTTGCCTATCAAGCTTCACAGAGCTCCTGCCCCTTATTCCTTGCCAACGCTGAGTTCGTGCTTGAAGAAAAGGACCCTGCCCTACGCTCGTAAGTCCTCAAACTTCTCTTTTGTTGTCGTTTTCTTTGATATTTCACACATTAGGGCATGCAATCGTAGCTTTTAGGCCTTGGGCTCCTAAAACCATCCCAAACCCTCCATTGTTAACGGTGTTCTTCATTTTTCCTGAAGAACACTGAAGAACTGGGGTGGACCGGGCTCCTGGTCTTCATTTGATCGAAAAAACCAATCTAACCGAGCAAATAACATGTTTGTCTCAACCCTAGCAAAAACCGAGATAGTAAAAGGAGTTGGTCGCTCAACCGGGCTAACATCTGGTCTGCTTGGGCGACCGAGCTCCTTAGTAAGCTTAGACGATCGAGGTGGTTTGGCACTTTTAATGACCGAGCTAAAGTCCAGCTCCCTTCGCGCTACCGCGCTCACACTTACACTTGCCATCATTTTCCTGCAGAGTCCAAGGGGACCACTGTCCATTCCTGAGGCTCTCAAGGCCGAGCAACAACCAATTACCACAGTGCCAAACCCCTCAGTCGAGCTATCCTAGGTCGGCAACAAATGGGGAAATTCCGCTTCCTAGTGGATACTCCGGCCGCGCTGGCTGCATTCAGGGAGGAGTACGGCGTACCGGCCGATGTCCACCTGGAGCTCGCAGAAGAAGAGACCACGCCTTGGGGTAGAACAGAGCAATGCCCCTTCACCGTGCTGTCGATCGTCGAAGGAGGCCTGCGCTTCCTACTCAATCCATTAATTACCGAGTTCCTACGCCGAACCGGGCTGGCACCTACCCAAGTGTCCACCAACACCTACCGGATAATAAACGGTGTGCACGAACTAAACAATTGGCTAGGCACAAACTTAGGCTTAGCCGAGATACTGCAGCAGTACACCCTTGGTCATACCGGCGACGGCCTCGCCTACTATCTTAAGATCAGGCCGGGCAAGGAGAAAATTGTAACCGGCACCCCGGACAAAGACTTGCACGATGACGATTTTTTCTGGGTGTCGGGCAATTACGAAACAGCCGACGTACCGGGCTGGTTTACAAGCAAGAACTTCGGTTCCTCATGTAAGTCGCTCAAACTTGCTCGGTCAGCCTACCTCTATGTTGTGATTGACCAGTTTTCTTGTTTCTTTTGCAGCGATTCAAGCCTTGCAGGCCAACTACCAATTTCCCAACGTAGAGGCAATTCGGACCGTGCTTCGCTATTCCC